TATCTGCATCCATGTCCGTGGATGAGGATACCCACAGATATAAAGTGGATATTTGTAGGCGTTCAAGGGCTCTACAGATTTCTTTTGGCCAATCCTCCAAATTGTCTAAGTCACCCTACCCTCCAGACTCTACTCCTACCCTCCAGTCATAGAATCCTATGGCTGGAAGAAACTTCAGGAGGTCATCGAGTCCAACCCCCTGCCCACAGTAGGACCAATCCCAATGAAATTATCCCAGCCAGGGCTTTGTCAAGCTGGGTCTTAAAAATCCTCTAGGGATTGAGATTCCACCACCTCCTGAGGTAACCCAGTCGAGTACTTCACCACCCTTCTAGTGAAATATTTTTTCTTAATAGCCAACCTAGACCTCCCACACTGTAACTTGAGACCACTGCACCTTGTTCTGCCATCCATCACTATTGAGAACAGCCTCCCACCATCTTTTCTGGAACCTCCCTTCAGGAAGTTGAAGGCTGCTATCAAATCCCCCCTCACTTTTCTCTTCTGCAGACTAATAAGCCCAAATACCTCAGCCTCTCCTTGTAGGTCATGTGCTCCACCCCGCTAATCATTTTGGTTGCCCTTTGCTGGACCCTCTCCAATGTGACCACATCTTTTCTGGAGTGGGGGGCCCAGAATCAGATGCAGTACTCCAGATGTGGCCTCACCAGTGCCGAATAAAAGGGAATAATAACTTCCCTAGCTCTTCTGGAAATGCTCCTCCTAATGCACCCTAATATGCCATTAGCCTTCTTGGCTACAAGGGCACACTGCTGACTCATATCCAGCTTCTCATCCACTGTAATCCACAGGTCCTTTTCTGCTGAAATGCTACTTAGCCAGTTGATCCCCAGCCTGTAACAATCCTTGAGATTATTCTGTCCTTGTTGAACCTCATCAGAATTCTTTTGACCCAATCCTCTAATTTGTCTAGGTCACTCTGCACCTTATCCCTGCCCTCTAACGTATCTACCTCTCCCCTTAGCTTAGTGTCATCCACAAACTTGCTGAGGGCTGCAATCCATCCCTTCATCCAGATCATTAATAAAGAAGTTAAACAAAACTGCTCTAGAACCGATCCTTGGTGCACTGCGCTTGAAACCGACCAGCAACCAGATATCAAGTTGTTGATCACTACCCATTGGGCATGACAATCTAGCCAGCATTCTATTCACCTTACAGTCCATTTATCCAAACCATACTCCCTTAACTTGCTGGTTAGAATATTGTGGGAGACTGTATCAGAAGTTTTGCTAAAGTCAAGGTATATCATATCCGCTGACTTCCTCATTTCTGCAGTGTCACTTACCTCATCACAGAAGCTAATCAGATTGGTCAGGCATGACTTGCCTTTGATGAATCCATGCTCACTATTCTTGATCACTTTCCTCTCTTCCAAGTGCTTCAAAATGGATTCCTTGATGATCCCCTCCATGATTTTTCTGGGGACTGAAGTAAGACTTACTGGTCTGTACTTCCCTTGATTGTCCTTCTTTAAAGATGGGCACTACATTTGCCTTTTTCCAATCATCTGGGACCTCTCCTGATCTCCACAAGTTTTCAAAGATAATGGCCAAAGGCTCTGCAATGACATTTGCCAACTCCTTCAGTATCCTCAGATGCATTAAATCCTTGGATCTGTGTATGTCTAGCTTTTCTAAATAGTTCTTAACCTGTTCTTTCTCCACCGAGGGCTGCCCACCTCCTTCCCATATTGCATTGCCTAGTGCAGTAGTCTGGGCACTGACCTTGTCTGTGAAGACAACGGCAAAGAAAGCATTGAGTACTTCAGCTTTTCCCATGTCATCTGTCACTAAGTTACCTTCCTCATCCAGTAAGGGCCCCACACCCTCTCTGATGACCCTCTTATTGTTAACATGCCTATAGAAAACTTTGTTACCATTCACATCTCTTGCTAGCTGCAATTCCAATCGTGATTTCACCTTCCTGATTACTCCCCTGCATTCTTGATCAATATATTTATACTCTTCCCTGGTCATCTATCCAAGTTTCCATTTCTTATAATTTTCCTTTTTGTGTTTAAGCTCACCAAGGATTTGCCTACCATATTTGCTTTTCTTACTGAGCATCGAGATGGTTTGTTCCTGAGCCTTCAATAAGGCTTATTTAAAATACTGCTCAGTATATCTGCCCAGCTTAGTGTTGTTTGCAGAGTTGCTGAGGGTGTAAACCATTCCCAAATCCAGATCATTAATAAAGATGTTGAACACATCTAGCTCCAAGACTGACCCCTGGGGCACTCCTCTTAATACTGGCTGCCAACTAGACATCAAGCCATTGATCACTACCAATTGACCCTGATGATTTAGCCAGCTTTCTGCCACCTTAAAGTCCATTCATCCAAGACATACTCCTTTAATTTTAAATACTAGTCAGCCAAAATTCTCTAACACTTCACTGCAAAAATAACAATTGTAGAATTAGACAATTAATGTAGAGATGATTATACCAATCATTGGAAGGAACAGTTTGAAATGCAATGCATTTGGAAAGTATATCTTACCACGGAACAAGGCATGAGTGGCCTCATACCAGCCATTCTTCTAATTTCTCTGGTAAATGCTGACTGTAAACCATTTAACAATTCCTTGAATGTCTTTTGATAGTCTGTGCACTGTGAACAACCTTGAGCCAAAATGAGGTGAACTGAAATAGAAATATGGAGAAACAAAGCCTAGAATGTACCAATCAACCACTGATCTTTAAAAATTTTCTGTGTGTAGCTATCTTTTGCCTATTTTGTGCATGTTATAATAAAAGTGAGAGCTCCTGGAATATTATTAGGAATTTCATTTGTCTGTTTTAGGCCAAGCAGATGCTCAGGCTACAATATCTTAAATCCTTCATCAACACTTTCCCAGCACCTTGACAGCTTGAAAGTTATTGCCAGCAACCGCTATGAATGGCATTGTTCTCAAATCCTTCATAGTCTGTTGCAGACACTAATAATGCAATATATATTGGAAGTTATGTATTGTGTGCAGAATGTTACACAATATGAGGTTTGAAAAGATAGCAGTACAGAAAGATTGGGGCATGATACTGGGACTGTTGCCACCACTAGGGATTTTAACTCCAGGGGAAGCAGGATCATGTTCCATGATGAAATGCAAAAATACCCCTGGTAAGCATATGAGAAAAGAGCATGATCAAAAATTATCTTCTGTACAATGTGTGACTGATATAATATTGCATATGTCCCCCTTGCAGCTCTCTCTGACTTAAAACTAAGGGGTCATTTAACCCTTTCACTAAATATTGTTAACCCTAAAGAAAGCCCATACACCTGTGTGGTGGGCATACACATGCAATATTACAGGACTTTGGAGATACTGAGATATGCCATGATCTAACTTTATGGTCACCAGCTTCTATAGCATATGTGATTGGGTCATACTCTCTGAAAGTATAATGAAATCTCACCAACTTTGATGTGTCCAAAGTCCCATCTTGGCTTTTCCACTGAAGCAGTGCACACCCCCTGGTTTGCACAGTCTACTGATGTGGAGGGGAAAGTTAATTAAGCCTTTAATTGATGCTAACCTTTGGGATTAGCTACAGACCACTATACCACCGGGGGTTGTCAATATGTTATATCTAATAAACTGCAGGTATGGGAACTATTCTTAGCCTTGAAATGTCATTTATGACAAAAGTCCTCCAGGTCTTCTGTTATGGCCAGCAAAACATTCATACCCTATCAAAGTCCCTGTAGAGTCCAGAAAACCTGCAGCCACCGTAAAGAGACTGAAAACCTCACTAATTTTAAAAAGGACAACAATGTCCGTGTAGCTTTTTAGGCGACCCCATTTCACAGGTATGCAGCAAATTGATCTAAGAAGATGGCAATACTCGCTGTTGAGCATGGCGCTCAGCAACCTTAGGGTTCTCTAGACAGTTCTGTATCGATGGTAAACAGTGGTCAGCTCGGTCCGCTGCAGAACCGAGGAGAGCTCCCAGTGCTTTGGAACTGAATGGACAGCTCCTGCTGCCTACTGAAATAGGTCCCCAGTAAAAGACCCAGTAATACCGGTCCTCTCCCTACATCACACCGCAATGGGTCCTAAGCGAACCCATTCCATTCATAAAATCTAAAGATGAGTCCCACAGTCAGTTCTTGGGGGAAGGGAATGTGTATATAGACTCACGTATGCCGCAGGCGCGCGCAATATTTCCTGGGGTATCATTGTGTCGTATTGGTCGCCTGATTTTGCTATTATTTTGCAGGGCTGTGACAGATGTATCCTAAGACAATGACACTGAAGGAGAGGGGTGGAGCTTGGTAGGAAGGAAATATTTGTTCTAATTGATATAATATAATCTCATCTCCTCGCTGTTTATTAACAGCAGGTAAATCAAACTGTCGGGAAACAGAACAGGATCCACATCTCTATACGCATGAAATAGCCAGCCTATAAACACTCATACGAATTTCTATACACCGCTATTTCCCGCCCCCAGAAATAGACCTGAAATAATATGTTCTCTCCCTATTGTCAATAGCAAAGACCACTCTAGATAAATCTGTCACCTACCATTAAATGAGCACAAACCAACAGAGGCTTTAATTTGATTTCGTATGGTCTTCATCTACAATGCATAGTACTTTGGTTTAATTGGCAACACAATGCATTTCTTTGTATATATCTGTATCTACATCTACCCATGCCTATGTATATAGATGGACAGATTTGCTTTATGCTGCCTTCTCGATATTTCCTAGCTCGACTTCATTCATATTTATGCAGCGATTAACTATATGAGCAAAGGTTAACTGCTAACGCAGATCGGTTGTATTTTTAATGTAAAAGCCTTAAAACAGGGTGTTTTGTAATCTGCAAGTGTCAAAAGACTCCAAATGTAATCGCCCAGCCCCTAACTGTGCACACTCCTCTCCCCCCGAAAATAATAATAATAATGCTGCAGATTGTAGAAGGATTTGAGTCTGCAGCCAGAAAGAAAGGGATTAGGGCGAGAGCACTGGAAGTTAAATTGTGCTGCATATAAAAAAATGGGCGGATTGGTCTGTAGATGAGAGCTTGGTACCACCTTCCTTTCTAAAATAAAATCTCTCTGGCATGAAGTCACAGCCTATTTCACATCCGGTTTACCCTGGGACGTATTACTACAGTCTTGGTAAAGAGAAACCTTTTGTTGTATAGCTGTGGTCGGAATACTGGGAAAAGAAATTTGTGTGTTAAGTCTTTAACACCAAAGCACCAGTAGAATCCATGATGGCAGAGACCGAATGACTGAAACAGAGCCGGGGAACGCAGCACATCCTCAGCCTCTCCGAAGGCTCCTTACCTTCAAGCTGCCTCCGTTTCTTGAGCGATTTTCTCTGACAGACTTTTTCAGTGATTCTGCGAACCTGTGCCCAGAAGGGCTCTAGGTAAGAACTGTTTATTTATTGCTAACAAACCTTTGATCGCTCTGGTTTTTTCGGGAAACACATCTATGTATATAGATGATCAATCCATCCCGCCCTAAGCAGGTGCATTTTCAATCCTCCCCCCCCCCCCCCCCCCCACCACCACCACAGGTTGAGAAACCGCAGCGATCGGTGGGCATTATTACATGAACAGATCTGAAAATAGTCCCTTAGAAAAAAATATTTTCAGGGCTGGGGAAATTGACTTTCTCAGGAAGAGGTGAGGAAAATACAAAAGTTGAAATGCAGGAAGGAAAACATGTCTAAATCTGCGCCTCAGAGCAAGGCGAATTTCTCCTCGTGCACCAAGAAAGGCATTCAAATGCATCGTTTCCAATGGACGCTACTAAAATGATCAGAGATGTGTGGGGCTTCCTCCCATTTTGAATAGGAAAACTGAAAAATCTTTAGAGTAATGTCTGGTTTGGGATGGATGGAGGGAACTGGAATCACCTAATGCTCCCTTAAAATGCATGTTTGCATATGATTTTTAGACTGCTAGACACTACTTCTCCAGCAATTATGATGTCTCTCTGCTTTTATTTAAGGGGGGAATGGTTGAGGGGGCTCATCAGATCAGCGAAGATAGTTGAGAGTGATTCGGTTTTTTGTCACACTGTGGAATCTTTTGCAAAAACAAAAGTTAACAGGAGTAGGTGGTTTTAACACTACAGATGTTACATTTCATATTATAAGGGACATGATAACTGTGCAATTTAAAATGACGATCTCTATCTAATCGGTGTCATATCCACCTAGATTAGTACAAACCTATTGAATGTTTACCTGCAGATCACTTCACTATAAACACCTTAATTGTATTTCATTATTCATCTGGCACTTTTTTTCCTCATTTTGAGTCTTAGGAGAAAATAGAGTTTTTACGATTTTGCTTTTGTTTTAATTCACGAACACTGGAAAGTTACTGGATTCCAGTACACCATATGTGTGCTGGAATATATTTATTGATAGATCTGCAGCAGCATCTAGCCATTTATGTGAATGTTGAATAAATACCACAATTACCAGCCAAGTTTGTTTCTAGACTTACTGGAAAATATATAGGGTCCGCTCACTTTTTACTTTAATTGGTGTCTGTTTAGATTAAACTGTGGAATAATAAATAAATAACTCGGGAACCATTTGAGAGGCAAAAAAATCCCCACTGTTTATGCGGAAACGTTTCCTAGCGTCAGGCAGTGAAAATGGCTAGAGATTTAGAAGACTGTATGTAGGCATTCAGCACATGGTTTGATTAATAAAGTGTGTCCTTTAGCCTGACGGAAGTACTAGAGTGCATACTTAGCAGCAGATCTCAGAATGCGAGTCCAAACATTACATTAGTTACACAATAATGCTTCAATAAACAAGAGACTATAAACAGGAAAGTCTCTAAAAAAAGTTGTGTCCATTATGCCAAGATAAACTTATAACCAAAGAAATTGCTCCATTCAGTCACTAGCAGAGACCCTGAATGGCACATCTGCACTCAAGTAAGTAAAAAAAGCAAAAAATACACAACTGTATTTGGTTATTCCCAGATATCATAAAAATACTTGACATTGTCAACTCAGGAGGATCCTGAACAGTGGCATTAAACTGCTGCTAAGCACTTTAATTCAGTAATCTATATTTTAAAAAAAGTTGAAGAGAAATATAACAAGATTAAAAACCGTCTGCTATGTGTGTAAAAAAAGTCCCGTAAAAGAAAACAAAGAGGTGAATGGATAGGACACCATTTTTGTTTTTACACTGAGAGACAGACAGTAGTACAGTGAGGTCATTGACTGACATCACATTATTTAGCTTAAGTTACTTGAGACCTTTTGTGTTTTCCAAAGTAATTGTTGTTGTGCAAGGGTTGTTGATTGTTTCTTATTTTCATTTCCAGCTTTCAGTATCCAACATGAAGAGCATTCTAGCTCTTTGTGACTGTCTTTGGGCCTGGACCCTGCTTTTGACTACACTACCTGGAAGAAGGTGGGGCAGATATTTTAAAAGCTTTTTAAAAAAAGAAATTTAGCCCTTTTACTTTGTTATAAAGGCATAAGAACAACTATCACATGGACTGGGCTCTATTTAGTGTACTGTAGGGAAGTAATCTCTGTTCAAATCCCAGCTAACTCTAAATAATGAACAGTGAATGAAAACTACAATTTGTTTGCATAACATCTTTATTCTAAGATTAGGAAAATCTTCAACAGAAACTGTTTGAATCATATTAAAGCAAATTACCAATTAAATACATATAAATATTTATAGTGTCCTTTCTACTCAATGGTAAAGAGTATGAGATCGTATTCTATATTTCAGTTGTGATTGGGAATCTAATAGAATGATATTTCTATTATTCAGTATTCTAGACCAAATCAGGGGCAAAACTCCCATTGGATTCTCTATTGAGTCCTAACTTGTTAAATAAAACAGTTTTGATACTTATTTCTGCAAACCCTTACTCATGAAAGAAGTTCTTACCCATGAAACTAGCCCTTGCTTAGGCCTTACATGCCTAAGAATTTGCAGGATTAGGCCCTGCCACAGAACTATGGGTTTGAAAGTGCACACTGTTTAATCTATTTGATATAAATTGTGTGTAGAATTAGCATTAGAGATAGTACCATTCATGATTATTAATTATTTGATTATTACTTATTTGATTACTAAACATATGAGCTAAACTGGCATATAGTTGAAAAGGAAAGTACAATCCAAAATTCACTGTCCATGGGAGTGCAAATATGTATTTTATTATATTTTAAAATATTACAATCCTACCTAATGAATAAAGGTCATTAAAGACATATTTTCCCCACAATCAATAAGCCTTAGAAAATATTTTATGCACCGATTTTTATCATTTCTTCTTTTTTATCTTTTATTCTGCATCTGTAGAGAAATTTATCTCATGACCAATCAGAAAAGCTTAGATTGATACAAGAAGATAAAAAGGTCTATTCTTCATGAATGTTTCTTCTAAAAAAAGATGTAAATAGTGTATGCATATAGTTTAATATATGTGTTGAATGAACAAGATAGATTTAAAAATACCTTTGTTTAAAAATCCAACAAGTGATAATGTAAAGTATTCATTAGGTATTTCATCTTGCTCTTTCATTTCCTAGGTATATTGTGAAATTACGTCTCCCTGGAAGTATATTAATTTGAAAGGACTATAATCTTAAATGAGAATTAAAATACATTTGACTGCTTTTGAAAAATTATATGAAGTGTCACCATTATAATGACCTGTAGATGGAGTTAGTATACAGTGTTTTATTGTGCAATGGTTTAGGAAACCACAGTCACATACAGTAACTTCAATATTTGTCTTCAAAATGTACATATCTCACATCAAATATATCTGTTTAGGAAGATATTTTATCCAAGCACTTCACTTGATTTTAATTTTAGATTTGTGTTTATTCTTTGGCAAATATAGTATTCTAATAAAATAAAATTTCACTTATAGGGGAAATGCATATTTTTCAATCAGATGCTTCTGTTCAAAGAAAATAAAAATCTGTATTTAGGCTATTTTACCAAGAATGGTTTCCTGATTTTGGACACTCATTTTACGCTGGAAAAATATCGCTGTTATATGGAATTTATATATTGTCTGTTACACTTGTGCAAACAGCTCATGTTATACTGATACATAAATTAATTAAAAGCAAAACATCTTCTACCACATTTGCTTTTGGAAAAATAATAGGAATTAAGTAAACGTACTTAAAATTCCACACCCAGAAATAGAATTAATGGCATAATTATGTTTTATCACATCCTCTCAGATTACATTCCATTTGTCCATCACTTCTTACTTCCTTTATCCCAGAGATACACATATATTTATTCTCATCAACCTTACAAAAGAGTACTTTCTTCTACCTTAATCTTGATGACCTTCTGCTCTCCTTGAGATATGTATGCACAACAGTTTGTTCATAAACAATAAGTATTTTTGCAGAATTTAATCCAGAGAAAAATCCTGTACCGTACCTTTCTGTAGCAGATGTGGGAATGGATCTTTCAAAATGAAATGCACATGGGAGAAAAGTATAATACATCATTGTAATTTGTAAATTAACATAAAAGTAACATCTGAAAAGACATATGTAAATATTTTCAGATGACACATATTTTAAATGATCACTTCAAAAATGAAAATCATCATAGTAAAAATATTTGTTTATGGTAGCTTAAAAGAAATGTGATCTAATTTATTGATACAATTTATTGGGAAATGTATCTGTCATTTAATTCTGTTCATTAGAAACAGAAGTGTAGATATCTTTGTTTTACAGGTTCCCAGTAACAAAAGGAATTATATGGCCCTCCAAACAACACATGAAATAAAATGGTGGTGAAAAACTTGTAAAAGTAGATTCTGTTAGTTGCTTAAATCTGTGTTGTCCTTTATTCAAAACCTCTTTGAAAGTTAATGTAAGAGTGATGTTTCTGTCCCATAGAAAAGGCCATACAAACAGATACACTGTTTCCCATTTTCATGCATGTAGGCTCTGCAAACAAGACTAAATTGATGAGGTAAAAGGAAACAATAGGGTTTTTTATAGTTGATATTTTACATACCCATTTCTTCTTTTTAAAATGGTCCTGGCTGATTAGAACAACTAGGTCTGGAAGAATGCTGAACTCTCTTTATTAATGTCTATATAGGAAGTATGTTGGCTGAGTGTAATAGTTTTCTAATAGTTTTCTAATAGTTTTCAGCAAGCTATCACCCTACAAAAGGTGTTCAGCAGCTCCACCGTATTGGTTATCTGGTTCAGTAATAAATATATATAACAAAATTATGTACTGGAAAGCAATTTGAATTAAAAGGCCAAATCCCACTAGCAACAACAATGTTTAATGGCAGTTTCACATGGTAATAGATGGAGTACACGCCACTCCACTACAGAAAGGTTGTGGACAAATTGGAGAGGAGTCCAGCAGAGGGCAACACAAATTATTAAAGGAATGGGACATATGACTTATGAGGAGAGGCTGAGGGTACTGGGCATTATTGAATCTCCAAAATAGAAGAATGAGGGGAGATTTGATAGCAGCTTTCAACTACCTGAATGGGGGCTCCAAAGAGGATGGAGCCAGGCTATTCTCAGTGGTGACAGATGACAGAACAAAAAGCAAAGGTCTCAAGTTGTTGTGGGGGAGGTCTGGATTGGATATTAGGAAAACTATTTCACTAGGAGGATGGTGAAACACTGGAATGGTTGGCTTGGGAGGGGGTGGAATCTCCATCCTTAGACGTTTTTAAGGGAAGGGATGATAAAGTACTTGCTGGAATGACTTACTTGGAGTTGGTCCTGGACTAGACTTCCTCCTGAGGTCTCTTTCAGTCCTAGATTCTATAATTACAAGATTTGGCCCCAAAGCAAGCATAATAGTTGATTAAGAAGAATTAGCCATGACCTGTGTTTGGGAAGGACTTTAGGTAGTTAAAAGACTTATTCTGATCTCACTTATGCCTGTTTAATGCCATTGATTAAAACAGACTTCATCCTGATGTACTCCAGTGTGACATTACAATAATCAAGTTCAAAGACTTTTATTCTGCCAACCTTATTCAGACAAAACTTTCCACTGACTTTAGTAGGACTTCTGTCTGAATTACTACTGCAGCAATAGGAACCTGGGAGACAAGCTTTACAGAAAAAGAAGGTTTCTATGTCAAAACAAAGCTTGACTATGCACTTACATGGAATAATTGTATTTATTCTTTTTAAATTAATCTAATGGAAAAAGGAAAGTAAAAACATACCACCCTAAGGAAGCGATTAATATGTATGTATCTGTTAACAATTTCATCATATTAGTAAATGTTTTGCTCTCACTCTTTTTCTCTAGTAAGCTCTGCACAAATGTCAATTGGTCTGCATGAATGTTTATGAAGGATACTTCTCTGCATTATATATTTACTCTTTATTTTAGAAAATATTATCAGTATTGAAATTTCATTCATTTTTAATGTATTATGTATTTCTCTTCATCTGAGCTCTTGATAACTGTTATAAATCAAATACATTGTAATTTTCTGATAAGTACAAATATCATTGTGGAATATAAAAAATGAAAAATTATAGCCATTAATAAATAACGGAGTAAGCAATAAAGAAACCATGTTCCATTTGCTTTCTATTTGTAGAAATGAGCTTGTGTTAACCTAAGCTTTTATTCCAAATGTGTTCTTTAAAAAGAAAATATTTAAGAAAAAGAACCATGTAATGCACTACAATCTGGTATTATGGAAGAGATTTTGTCTCCATAAATCAGTGTAAGCAAGATTAAGCAGATTTTGGAATTGTTTTGTAGAGTTACTGGTAGATTGATGATTTATAATGTTAACTGCTCTTTGATTTCAGCTATGGACAAACTTCATTACAAGATGAAATTAAAGACAACACTACAGTGTTTACTAGGATACTGGATCGTCTGCTGGATGGCTATGATAATCGCCTGAGACCAGGTTTAGGAGGTGTGTGATATTGTCATTTTAGAGGTTGTCCCTCAGAGCAAAATGAAATTTAAAGTGATTGTTTTTACGTTCACATTTGCTTTGCAGATTTATCGAACATTTTTAATATAGAAGACATTTTAGTAAAACACCAATCTGTATATACTCATACAAATACACATCTATAAACTATGATAAAATATGTGGCCCTCAGTTCAACAAACATGCACTGAGTTTTTCATGAATGAGGAACAAAAAGTCTGACCCAGGACTTGGCTGATTTCAATGGGCTAGAGCAGAGGTTTGGAACCTAAGGCCCAGGTGCCGGATGAGGCCCCTGGTTTGCCTGGATCCAGCACCTATGGCACTGGGCTTCCCCCAGCATTGGGGAACCCTCACTGGTGCTCCAGCTCCCTTCGGCCCTCCCTGCCCACAGGACTGGAGCACATAAAATCTACTAGTCAGGGTCCCGCTAGGCTCTGGTGTGTGAGGGAAATGTGGGTACCATGTCAGTGAGGACCTAATGTTTTGGGGTTGGGAGTTGTTTTTTTCTTCTGACTTGTGTGCAGCCCTCCAACTGATTTTTTTGAGTCAGCAGCCCCCAACCCAAAAAAGGTTCCCCATTACTGGGCCAGGGAGATTCTAAAAACCTAATATCTGAAGACAACCAACCAAATTCCCATTGATTTAATTTACAATAGAACATGACCCTAGATTCCACTTTCTTACTTATACAAATGTCTCAACAAAGATTATAGGGTTTGTGTTAGGTAAGGATATCAAGATTCGGCCCACCAGTCTTTGCCTCTATAGTTACACAATACCTATTACTTCTTCAGTTTAATTACCTAACTATAGAAAGGCAGAAGGGTTAAACTGCCATTCCTTCTTGTATAATAGTGTTGTTAAGACTCTATGGGTATGTCTACACTACCACCCTTTGTGCTTCTTTAGCAGGAAATAAACTGTATTTACAATTCACAAAAAGAATAGGAAATCTGCATCCAGATAGATACTTGTTCATGTCTGCTTTAGCAAAATGATACATTATATGATGACTTTTCATGGAAAAGTTTCTAAATGTAGACATAATCTTATTATATGAAATTATTTTGATGACCTTTGAGATGCCACAATTTGTTTTCCTTTCCACTCTCCAGGAAAAAAATAGAATAAAATATGTAATTTATCTTGTTTTCCAACATCTGTTAGTTTTCAAGAAAAAGAAGCTTTCATTGTAGAGAACATTTTTCTATAATAAGATTTAATATGTATATTATCCCCTAACCATGCAAAAAAAATCAGATATTAAAAAGTAAGTGCATTTAGTTTGTGGCTGTTAATTCTTCCCTTTTACCACAGTCCTTGAAGATGAAGTCAAATTCATCCCTGTCTAAGTTCATTGACTCCTGGGATGATTATCTTTATTTTTTTATAAATTATTCTTTTTTTCTTTAAGAACTACAGAAAGCAATGGATTATTCTATATTAAGGATTTCGACTGTAATTTTGAGGCTAATATGCAACAAAACAAGTAATTACTTTGTCCACTTGATGTACTAATATTATACCCACTTTCATGTAAATCCTTGGATTAGTCTGGAAATGAATATTCCTTTATCCTTGACTAATACCACTCTACATTTCAGTCAACTGCTATTGTAAGTGCATACATCATAGAAAACAATGAGAAAGGGAATATATTATAAAATCTGATATCATATGAGCCCCCCCAAAATATGAGTAGTTATTCAAATTCTTACTTGATTTTTGCACCAACCATGAATTACTTTAAAATTTTCTAGGACTATGCACAGAAATTGATAAAGGTAAAGAAAAAGGAAATACACTCTTTTTCTTTGTTGAAATTGTTAATGGGATAAGAGAATCTTATAATAATTTATTTTAAATGCTATTTTATAGAGGGTGAAACAACCAGAGATTTCTAGTGAGTATTTGTGTGCATAGGCCTGTACCCTAAGGCATGAACACAGCTATGAGATGATCTATCCAGTGTAAGTGGAGTCTTCCATTGATGTAGAGTCAGTGTAGCATCTCCTATACCAGGTGCCTAACCAACTGCTGATCTCCAGCTGCTATTTATTTGGGTCATTGATAACTGGGCAGAGTTTGAACAGCCCTGATTTTTCTCCTGCTTACACTGAGGGTATGTCTAGACTGCGTTGCTCTTTCAGGATACCGGAGGTATCTTAAAATAGCAATGCCGCATCTTTAAAAGCGTTCGAGTGATAAGGGGTTCCATGAGGGTTAAAGGATTTGTCGAAATAGTGCCTTATTTTCAACTTTGGCACCGTGGGTACGTCTACACAGCAACATTATTTTGAAACTAGTATTATTTCAAAATAACTTAGTCCATGTCTGTACAACCAGGCAGTTATTTCGAAATAATGTCGAAATACTGTCAAGCTGGAGGACTTCTTACTCCAACTCCTATTACCCTCATTGTATGAGGAATAAGGAAAGTTTGAGGAAGAGTTCTTTATTTCAAAATAAGTGCTATGTAGATGCTCCCAATTTTGAAATAAGCTATTTTGAAATAAGCAATGCAATTGATGTAGCTTATTTTGAGTTAATACACAGCCCTGCTGTGTAGATGCACCCTGTATAGCCAGTGCCACATTTCAAAATAACCTCTTTTGATCTAGACTCGGAATAAGTGCAAATTGCACAGCTTATTCTGACAGAAGGGTGCTGTCTAGATGCACCCATAGAGAACAGCTTGGAAAGGAACTGGTGTAGGACTAGAGTAGCACAAAAGGTAGCATAAAACTTTGTATAGACTTCCTTTCCCTCTTCTGAGTGATGTTGTGAGTTCATTTATCTATAGCCATGGCTTTAGGCCATATTATTTATTTATTTTGATTATATAATATTTTTACTTGAGTGAATAGCTTAACTTTTCTACTCAGATGTATTTCTGAGAGTGACTGAAGAACCCCAAAAACTATAACTAAGGAAAACATCTTTAAACAGGCTGGGGACCAAATGGCTAAGTAGCAGTTCTGTAGAAAAGGACCTGGGGATTACAGTGGATAAGCTGGACATGAGTCAACGGTGTGCCCTTGTAGCCAAGAAGGCGAATGGCATATTGGACTGCATTAAGAGGACCATTGCCAGTTGATCCAGAGATATGATTATTCCTCTTTACTCGGCTCTGGTGAGGCCACATCTGGAATATTGTGTCCAGTTTTGGGCCCCCAATTACAGGAAGGATGTGGATGCATTGGAGAGGATCCAGCAGAGGACAACCAAAAAGATTAGGAGGCTGGAGCATATGACGTATGAGGAAAGGCTGAGGGAGTTGGGTCTATTTAGTCTGCAGAATAAAAGAGTGAAGGGGATTTGATAGCAGCCTTCAACTTCCTGAAGGGAGGTTCCAAAGAGGATGGAGAGAGGCTGTTCACAGTAGTGATGGAAGGCAGAACAAAGAACAAGTCTCAGGTTGCGGTGGGAGAGGTCCAAGTTGGATATTAGGAAAAACTATTTCACTAGGAGGGTGGTGAAGCAGTGGAATGGCTTGACAAAGCCCTGGCTGGGTTGATTTAATTGGGATTGGTCCTGCCTTGAGCAGGGGGCTGGGCTTGATGACCTTCTAAGGTTTCTTCCAGCTCTATGGTTCTATGATTCTATGAAATAAGCCCTAAATATACCAGAATTGTGGGCAATGAGTTGTATGTTTTAAAAGCATACAATAATATAGTCCATTATATTGGAGAGTGTTGGAGAGCTAAGATAAAGTCTGGAGCACTGGCATTATGTGAGGGCTAGGGTTGTTGGATTTTATACTAGAGGGCTACGTCTAGACTGGCATGATTTTCCGCAAATGCTTTTAATGGAAAAGTTTTCCGTTAAAAGCATTTGCGGAAAAGAGCATCTAGATTGGCACGGACACTTTTCCACATAAGCACTTTTTGCGGAAAAGCTTCCGTGCCAATCTAGACGTGCTTTTGCGCAAAAAAGCCCTGATCACCATTTTCGCAATCGGGGCTTTTTTGCGCAAAACAAATCTGAGCTGTCTACACTGGCCCTTTTGTGCAAAAGGACTTTTGCCCTAACAGGAGCAGCATAGCATTTCCGCAAGAAGCACTGATTTCAGACAGTAGGAAGTCCGTGTTCTTGCGGAAATTCAAGCGGCCAGTGTAGACAGCTGGCAAGTTTAGGCGCAGCTGAGGTTTTTAGGCAGTCTAGGCGCAGCTGAGGTTTTTTTTTTTTATTCCTAAGTTTTTATTCCTAAGTCCCACCATGTGCTGGGAACTTTCCTGTATTAGATTTTCTTCTAGAAACTCCCTTTAATCGAAAAATCTAAGCAATACTTATACTATACTGATTTAATATAAAATGTGGAGATTCTGATGACGACATTGATAAGGACACACGTAAAGTAGAGTATATAGCACTGAATACACTGACCTTTTTAAAAGGTTGATAAGTTTGAAAGTATTAAAAATATTGGAGGAGATGAGAAGATGTCATTAGATTATGGTAACTGAGTATGCACATAATAGAAAAAAGATTGCAAAAGGGATGATTTCTAAAAAGCAGCTCTATATTTTGCACCTGCAACTTCCAGGTATGTGGTACAAAATGAAGTGAGAGAAGGAGGGTGAGTTAATACCTTTTACTGGACTTTTGTTGATGAGAGAGACAAGCTTTCAAACACGGGAGAGAGCTCAACCCCACCCCCCCTCTCCTGTGCAGCCAGTGGAGACCACTCCCTCCTCCTTGCAGCAGGTCAGAATGCAGTGGGAGGAGGCAGTAGTAGGTCTGAGGCGCCTCAGCTGTGCCTCAGCTGGGGACCAGATGTGCTGCTGCAGCAGTCACACAGTCAGGGGACAGCCTGGGACTGCATGTCAGTGGCAGCAGTGTCTCTGGGCTCCGGGATCAGCCCTGGACCACATGGCAGTGGTAGTGGGGCCTCCAGGGCCAGCTCTGGACCGCATGGCAGCGGGGCTTCCAGGGCCAGCCAGGGACCATGTGGCGGCAGCAGTGGCACCTCTGGT